CTAATTGTGTTCCTGTCCTTGTTCTTTATGATTTGTCGTGTTGCCGTATATGTGCAACATAGGGGAGGAGTGAGCAGTTGCCACATAGACTATATTAGTTTTGATTTCAAAAATTGTACCGGTTGACTTGACTTGCACAAAATTACCGAAAGTTCTATGGTGCTCTGAAGTATCCTATATTGATCTCCAAAACAATCATCAAAGAGATGAAAAAAAAGTAGATATGAAATTATCCAATTGAAGCACCATCCGCAATAAAATTCAGAGCGTCTACAAGCATGAAGAAAGACAAATTAAAGACAAATTAAAGGCAAATCATCATTCATACCTTTTACTAAAGCTGGTTGCTATTCACAACTCACAAGTGCATGGTAGTGACAATAGCGCCACACGCTTTTGTGTACAATTTTTTTAAAAAAAAAAATTGTGGCTTTTTAGACCAAAATAATCTCTGAGATTTGAAATCAATAGAAGTAGTTTCTAAGTTTGTCCATCATCAATCATTTTGATCATTCCTTGAAAAATCTTCATTAAATAAGGATAAAATGACAAAAATACCCTCAAAGAAGGACTAAAATGATTGATGGTGGACAAATCCATGAACCACTCCTATTGATTTCAAATCTCAATGACCAAAGTGATAAGTTATGCAAATCTTAGGGACCATTTTGGCCTTTTTTTTTTTGGTACGGATCCAATGAAATTTAATCTTGACAAAGACAACTAACCTACACCCAGTGAGTCGCTATAGCGCCCAGATTATGTACTTTTGCTTCGTTATTAGTTTAAGATGTCACGGTAATATACGAGTATAAGCAACTCTTCAATTAAAGATATAAGCAAACCAAAATATTTGAAAATTAATTAGTGAACCTTGACATAGAAAACGCCAACCACCCAAATTGGCTTCTGTGCAGTAGCAGAGCTAGGATTTCTGATAAGGAGCAGCGTTTGACAATGTAAAAAAAGGGTAGTATTTAAAAATTACAACCAAAATATAATATGTATTTAAAATAATCATATTTATCGTCGATGAGTTTTCATATTTTGAAACTGTTGCATGATAACCTCGTCATCTATACTATTGAAAGAATTATCAGAATCAGTGGGGAAAATCAGTAAAAAATTTACAAACCCTAAAAAAAATTCAATAAGTTGAATGGATGTGGAATTTGGGATAACAAAAAATATGAAATTTCGAGAATGAGATAGGGAACAGCTCCCAAATCTCTGGGTTGCGCTATGAAAGAGATCAAATTAGAGTGTGAGGCAAGATTTTTTATTTTTAGAAATAAAAGTAAATGATGGTTTAATTTGTTATAAAGGATCATAACAAGAGATAATGATTGAATTTATTGGAAGTGTTGAACAATAAGAGGGTTTTAGAAGAAGAGAAATAGATATAATACACATATGTATATATAGACATAGATATATTTTTTCAAAGCCAGATAGGCTCAGGAGCACCACGGTCCCTTGGTGCTTCTGTGAACTAGAGTTTAGCTTGAGTACTTGAGAAATAAGTGGTGGATTACCCTTATGGTTAGGGTATTTCTCCTTAACAACTGTGTATCAGATATAGATTAGTCTAACATATTGCTCGTAATTAAAGAAAAAAAAAACGATGTTTCCCATTCAATTGACGTGTTTACACCTTTTACCTACAAGGTTTTGAATTTTCCCAGTTTAGTGACTGATTTCTTTTAAGAAATTTCCAAGCACTTTCGATTGAGTACCGTTTTATCATTTCTAAAAAATAAGAAAAATAAGTGAATTTCAAACTACAAAACGAGGTTACTGGGAGGTCATAAGAGAGCACATAACTTAGCCTGAAAGTGAAAGAGAAAAACTAGTGTGGAGGTAGCTAATCATGTCATCCGTACAAGAGTAATTTCCATACCATCATGGCGTTCCGTGCCAAAATAATTCAATGTAAGAAAATATTGTATCATTGACACATATGAGACGCCACCATGACATTGACATTGCTTCTATAAAAGTCGTCCATCAGTAGAGAACCTCTTAACAAAACATGAGACTCCTTGGTATTTTTTGTCTCACCCTAATTTGAGAGTTTCCCTGGTATAAGAATTAAGGTGGGACTATTAATTAGCATAGTAAACATTACAATCAGTGTGACAAAGCCCATCTGTCAATTTCGAAAATGAACCAGCAAGCTGTAACAAAAATTAATAAGGTTCCAATCGAAGTTTATTGGACCAGGATTAATTATGAGTCAATTTTATAATATATATTTTATCCGATTCTTACATTAATTTATTGGTTATTTTAGTGAGATTTTGATACTTTGGTTTATATTTCTAATGTAAGATTTTTTACTTCCTTTTGAGCAAAAAATGATTGAACATACGAATTTTGGAGTGATTTCAATTGGAGGATGTTCGTAAGTCTCGCAACTTGCTCGTGTCAAAGTTTCAAATTTTTCTACCAAGTGGTTTATTTATAAATGACTAGCGCCTAGTGTTAATCAAAGTGACATTTTGGGCTTTTTGGAGTCCAAAATGGCATCTTTTGGGTTTGGGCTCTTCTGGACATCTTAAGCTTTAAAATGAGTCATTTTGGGCCTGTTTTAAGGGTGTCTAAGGCCCAGAACGTGGCTGTTTTTTTTATAAGCAGATTTCTCATTGTTGATTAGGATTATGTTTCGTAGTTTTTAGAAAGCCTTTTTTAAGAAGGATTTCAATTGTAGTGGTATGAATAAGGCTATTGGCCATTAGGGTTTGGGAGGAAGGCACTACTTTGGAGAATTCGGCTTAGAGAGCTTTCAACAATTCAAGTTTATTTACAAGGTGTTTTCTATCCCTATTTAATTAATTACTAAAATTTTGAAAAAACTAAAAATAATAATAAATAATGGTGGGTGGGTGGGTGGGTGGGTGGGGTGTGATACTTGGGTCGGAGAGAGGCTAGGAAAGATTTGGGCTACAATCGACAGAAAGGTTGGAGGAAGGAATGGGTGTGTGTTAGACGGAGGCGAGAAACTTCAACGCATGAGAAAGAGACTTGGTGGTGAGATCTGGGGCTTCGACAGAAAAGGAAGAAGAGTGGTTTGGGATTCGAGGTCTCTTCGGGGAGATCTGATGATGTTCGTCCTATAATTGCCAAAAAATTCGCTAACAACGGTGCATAATAGTTTGTTAGATTTCCTTCAAGTGATGTTTTGCGACGGGTGGCTATGTAATTCATGTTTAGATAATCATATTCTTTTCTGTTCAAAAAAAATATTTAAAACAAAATATATTAGGGTTATTTTGGGAATAATTGTGGGTGGAGAAATAACATTTTATTTTTTAACTTTTTATGGTGGGTGTGATTATTATGTGGGTGGAAATTAGGTCAAACCAATTCATCAAGCCCTGAGGCTCCAGAAAAATCAACAAGAAAGAAAATTAATTTCTTCTTACCTTGGTGCGGCGCGGAGAAAAAGAAGAACAACGAGAAATGATTCTTTGCAAGGGAAAGTGAAGAAGAAAGCTAGGGGATGGGGAATGAACTTCCTCTGGCTTCTCTCTTTCTTGTAGGGATAAAAATTGTTCTTCAAATTTATTTGATCCACTGCTTAAGGTGGAATTAAATAGGTATTGGTGGGAATTGATTTCCCTTTCCTAGAAGATTCTATCTCAAAGTCAAAAAAAGGAGATCTAAATCAAATTGGGAAACAACTGTCTACACATCTAGGCAATTTAGGATTTCTACCCCTACTGCCTTTTTTCTACATGCAGCCCAACATGTGTGGGGCATTGTGGAGCCTAAAATAATCCCAAAAATTCTAGAGGCAACACTTGAACTTTTGTTGTAGGAAAAGTCAAAGGCATTAAAGATAATGATTAATTACCAAATGGCTTTTTAGTCAAAATGATCATTGAGATTTGCATAGGCATTAAAGATAATGATTAATTACCAAATGGCTTTTTAGCCAAAATGATCATTGAGATTTGCATAACTCCTCTCTTTGGTTCATGAGATTGGAAATAGATAAAATTGGTCCCTGACTTTATCTACAATCTATCATTTTGGTTATTTTGTGAAAAATATCCATAAAATAAGAATAAAATGACAAAAATACCCTTAAATTTGGTCAAATCATTTTGGCCTATTGTTTATTAAATTGAGGGTAATTTTGTCATTTTGATCCTTATTTAACATAATTTTTCACCCAATGACCAAAATGATTGGTGGTGGACAATCTCAATGACTACTTCTATTGATTTCAAATCTTAGGGACTAAAGTGAGGAGTTATGCAAATCTTAATGACCATTTTGGCTAAGAACCTTACCAAATCCTATATTTAATACATTCCCAATTGAAGATTGACTCCATCTAAGTAAATAATCCATATTTAATCAAATTAAGGATACTTCCACCATTATCTCAATATATTATTTCTTATTTAATATCTTGGGAATATCCTTTCCTCACACTTTGGCCAATAGGATGCCTCCATGTGTAGGGCAAAACCCCTAACACTGTGGTCGGCCCTCTCCTCCTATAAATAGCTTCATCTTTACCAAATTTTGGTAAGCTTTCGCTACCCCCTAAAAGCTCTAAACACTCACTTTTTTTTTTCCTAGAGAAATTAAGTTAGGCATCGGAAATCCATTGGCCTAACCCCCTCCCCCACCTCGTGGGTGTGTGAGGCTTAGGTCTTTATCAAAGGTTTTGATTGTTTTGTTGGTACATTTTCGTTAAGATCGAAGATGACGGAAATTCACTACCACTCCACAAGTAACAATTTTCGCTCGTGGCAGTTCAGCCAATGAACCACTGCGCTTTTTTTTTTTCTTTTCTTTTTTTTGTCGATTGTTCAAATCATTGCCCTTGGTCGTGAGATTTTTACTTGGGCATGGGGTATGAATGTCTAAGTTTATGAAGAAAAAAAATAAAGATTAAAAATAAAGGAAAACTAATAAAAAGGGCTTGAAAACTTTGAGTTTTAATGAAAATGACAAAATAAAGGGTAAAGTGAATAGTACCAGGATTGATCAAGGGCTTTTCGTTAAAGTTCCCTAAAAATAATACAACGGTAATGCCGTAATGGTTTGTAAACAAATGAAATTAAAGGAGGAAATGGAATGAAATGAAAGCCAAATTTCAACCGATTTGATCCGCCACCCACCCATTCAAATAACACCGGGCGAAAATAAAGAGTATATACAACCATTAAACGAATAATCCCTTTTAGTTGAGACACAAGCTTGATTCACTGCCTTCTGACTCATCATCACTTGAATCACTGGCTTCGGATTCTTCATCTTGTCTTTGTTTCTTGTATTTTTGGTTCCCCTGACACCAAGACGTGATCAAATTGAATTTCTCAGCATCTTAAGCATACAACGGGCATATACCACACTTTAACACCTTCGCACCCTCCATGTCGAATTCAACAGAGGCCTCATTGGCAAGTTTGTAAACATCAAGGGAGCATTTTTTTGCTACCTCTTCACTTTGAAAGCGCTTAGTCCACACATACATGTGATCCGGGTAGTAACAGTAGTCATTCGATTCCCTAAAGCTTGATTCGCTGGCTTGTGGGATAAATAATAAAGAAGAGAACAGTTCATGGCTTTCACCCAGGAATTTGACATTGAAATCAGCTATTAGTGTCAACTCACTCTGGCAGTTGGAAACACAAGAAACAACAGCAGAGAGAGCAAAACCCAACAAACCTGTTCGAAACCAATCTGGAGGAAGCTTGATATGAACTAAAGGTCCCTCACTTTGATAGCTGCAGCTGAACCAATTTGGAATTTCTTTTCCCGGACATACAATGCTAGCATGAAGGTCATCATGACCATAAGGTTCCTCTAATGGCTCAGTTGCCACTCGCATAACTCTAAGCTGTCCGTCATCCATTATGTTGCTCCTTGCATTATGATCCAATTTCGGGCAATCAAAAAAATCAAGTTTCCCAAAAGCGACGTATTTATCCCAACCTTGTGTGAGTGCAGCCCTTGAACTTGACACTGTCTTCAGCGACGTGCAGCCTTGAGCTTTAAGATTACATAGCACTGGGAGCTCTGGTAATGATTGAAGCTGCTTGCACCCGATTAAGCTTAGTGTATGCAACTGAGAAGCTTGTTTGATGCTTGCAGGTATGCTCCTAATCATGGTTCCAGTCAGATCTAAATCTTGCAATGAGGTTGAGCCAACGACACCGTCAGGGATTTCTGATATGCGGGTGTGAAAGAGGTCTAGAACTTTCAAAGAGAGCAAACCAACAGAACCGGATGGCAACTCTTTGAGTCCCCAACAGTCACGAAATTTGAGAGTTGCAAGGTTGGTTAAACTGTAGATACTTCTTGGGACAACATTAAGGTTCTTGCACTCATCAAGATCTAATGTTTGAAGCCCAATTAGTTTCCCAATAGACGAAGGAAGCTTTTCAAGCGCTGTCCCTTTCAAACTAAGAAAGTTCAGATGTTCCATTGGCTCCAAGATTTGAGGGAATTCGTAAAATGCAGAGCAACCTCCGAGATTAAGTATGTTAAGAGATTTCAACTTACAAATGCTCTCTGGGATACTTGAAAGCCTTTTGCAACCTAGTAGTTCAATTGTTTTGAGAGCAGGGAGAAACTCGATTGATGAGTGTAGCTCTTGAACTTGTGTTCCACTTAAACAAAGTGATTCCAAATGTTCCATTGGCTCCAAGATCTTTGGGAAGTTTTCAAGGTTAGGGCACAAAGAGAGCTTGAGTTCCTTGAGATATTTCAACTTACAAATGTCGGTTGGGAGACTCACAAGTCTCTTGCAACCAACCAACGATAATTGACTTATATCCCTGGGAAGCTCAGAAAACTCGCTAAGAGATTTGCAGTACCCTAGATCAAAACAACCAGAGACTTTCAGCTTACACCTGTTGCTTGGAAGTTTCTTAAGGTCTTCACAATGACTTATATTCAAGTAAGAAATGTTTTTGTTAGACCAAACTGATTCAGGCAACTCTTGTATACCACTGCCATATAAATCTAAGAATGCAATATTTTCTGGCATATCTGGAAGATGCTTGAGACACTTGCAGCCATGAAGATTAAGATCAGTAAGCTTATGAAGATGTTGAAAATCCCCAGGAATTTCAACCAAGCGTTCACAGCCATCAAGATTTACGTGCACAATTTTTGGACTCCAAGAGAGATTTGGAACTTCCGTTAGATATTTAGAGCCCTTCAGATCAATCACTTTTAATTTCACAAGTCTCTGTAACAAAAGTAAAGAAAAATACACAAAATTAATAAGAAAGACTTTCTACACTGCATTTTATACAAGAACTAAAATAGGCATATATACCTGGTCTTCATTCCATAGCTTATTAACTTGGCTTTCGGGCATATGAAGCTCAACTAGATTTTCAGGAGAAAATTTTGACGGCAATGATTTCAAAGGATATCCACTCCAGTTAAGATAACGAAGAGAATTGGGAAGATCTAGAGAGTAACTGCCAAACTGTTCAGATTTAACCACAATTAGCATCATTAGGTTAGACATTTTTTGAAGTTTGCACGTTTCAAATATAACAAATTAAAGAGAAATATCAAGAATTAATATGCGAGACTTTTGACACTGCATTTTATACAAGAGCTAAAATAGGCAAACATACCAGGTCTTCATTCCATATCTTATTAACTTGGCCTTCGGGTATAGGAAGCTCAACTAGATTTTCATAAGAAAAACTTGACTGCAAACATCTCAAAAGATATTGAAGAGAATCGGGAGGATCTAGAGAGTTAACCCGATCAAGAGAGTTAACCACAATTAGCATCATTAGTTTAGACATCACTCTGAAGTCTGCACGTTTCAATGTTTGCCCTTCAATCTTATACCAGTTCATTAATACGGCTTGAACAATTGGAGTTCCCTGACAATAAGAGCAAAGTTTAAATGTGAAAATACATACAACAAAATTCAGTCAATAATTAAATTTTTGGTAATCTGACTTCTTCATTATAAATGTGCTTTTCCTTGGTATGTTTTCATTTAAAGTTCCCTATTTGTGTTTACTTAAAAAAGGAGAGAAAAAGAAAAAAGAAATTCAATGCATTTGGCTCTTACCGAGTTATTTTTCAGTATACAATTGACATCCTCATCCTTGAACAACCTATTCCGTTTACTGGGATCTTCAATACATTGTTCGAGAACAACTGTGCTTCCCATTTCTTGTAGCAAATCATGCACCTCTATGGCATTCCATCTTGAATCAATTGATATGAGAGACGTATCAATGAGAATTCTAATTCCGCTTGCTGCAAAGAATCCACGAATATCTAACATTCGTTTTACCTCAACCACATCCTTCCCTTTATGAAAACATGCTATATCTAGGAATATCTCCTTCTCATTTCTTTCCAATCCATCGTAACTCAGTCGCAACACATTATGGATTTTTTCATTGGGAAGTTCTTCCAATTTGTTCAATTCATCTTCCCATTCTTCTTTGTTCTTGCAATTTAGGAATGAGGACCCCAGATGTACGAGAGCTAAAGGAAGGCCTCCAGCATAATCAACTGCCTTTTCTGCCAATTCCTTATAATCTGTTCTAGAAGTACTGTTATTCTTGAAAGCACGGGAATAGAAGAGTTTTAGAGCGTCATCCTGTTTTAATCCCTCAACCTCGTAGATCTTATCCTCTTTAACAGTCTCCCTAAGCGTCCTCTTATCTCTACTTGTGATAATGATTCGACTTCCAATGCCATACCGATGACGAATGCCAGCTAGACGTTCCATTTGGTTTGAATCACTCACATCATCAAGAACAATGAGGACCTTTGTACGACTCAGCCTTTCTCGAACAAAAGTTGATCTTATGCATAGATCTTTTTCGTCTAATATCTCTTTAAAAAGTTTTTCTTCCAAGTGATCTAGTCCATTTGTTTGTTCTGAGTTCATCCTAACATTTCTAAGAAAACAACTGGCTGTGAATTTAGAAGAGAGTTTGTCAAATACAGTTTCAGAAAGGGTGGTCTTGCCAATACCACCCATCCCCCAAATTCCTATAGTGATGCAAGCGTCCTGTGAATCAATGTCTAACAGTGATTCTATTTGCTTGACATGGCTTTCGATTCCAACCAGGCCCTCCAAATTGCTTGATGATTCACAAACCAATTTGGTCCAAATCTCATCAACAACTTTCTTAATTAGATCTGCCTCCGACCTGGCATATATATGTATGATAGGTAGAAAAGCAATAGTTAGTCTTAAATAGGCTTTACTAAATCTTAGCGCAAATCAAATTGTCACAAGTTTAAAGATATTTTATACAAGTTCAAGAACGAGTTAGTTACCCGGAATTGTTTGAGTAATGAAACCCAGATAGATTGGCCGCAGTCGTCAAAGCATCCCTCCACTTATGCACCTTGTCGATACTGTCCTTGCAACGTTTTTCATGTCTAGCAAATGCAACCGCATAGCTCCCCTGTTGTTTTCGGACATGTGATGGATCGATGTCGTAGAATACGGGTATAACCATCTGGCCATTTTCCTTGCATTTGAGTATGTGCACAAGTTCTTCCAAACACCATGAGGAAGAACCGTAGTTTTTTGAGAAAATGATCACTGAAAGCTTAGATTTCTTGATTGCTTCTTCAAGGGCAGGTCCGATTGCTTCTCCTCTCTGAAGTCTGTCATCTATGTAGGTTACAATTTTCTTCTGTTCTAAGGCGTGGTGAAGATGGCTGGTGATGCCACGGCGGGTGTCCTCACCTCTGAAACTGATGAACACATCATACTTTTCCTGATGAGGGGGGATATCAACATTGTCAGCGTCACCAGCTGCAGAATCAGCAGCAGAAGACGACGAAGTAGAAAATAACGATCTGAACCACATCTGCGGGAGAGAAATGATGCATCCCATCTGAGTGCTTGATAATATATCAAAGATCAAGAGAAAGAAGCTAGTGCTTGATAATATATCGAAGAAAGAGAATGGATATATCAGAGATGAATTAGATTTATTAAGTTGCAATTGAGAAGAGGATCCAATTAAGCAAATTAAGAGAGAGAGAGAGAGTGAGAGCTCTTGAAATTGGGAAGCAAGCAAGAGAAGAGAGAGCAGTTGCCAGAGACTAAATCAGATATTAAAGAAAATAATAAAGCTAGGTGAGTCACAAGCATGGTCTAAAATATCCATAATATCCCGATATTTTTATCGAAATTTCCGTGTTTTTGGACTATCGATATTTTTTGGACTACCGATATTTCCGATATCATCGATATTTTAGACTTTGCTAAGTCACTCATATATCTTATCATGCAATGTATAAAGTGTAAAATATTGTACTAATTCATTATATATAAATGATTATGGTGTGTTTAAATTTCTTTCATTAATTACTACATATTTTCTACACTCACAATGTTTGCCAGCTCGCTATATAATCAACTTAAATTAGTTATATCTATCATGCAATGCATTTCCTTCCAATTTTTTGTGATAAACTAATAGATAATTGACTAAATAAATATCCTGCAAAGTTTTAATAAAAATTTCCAAGTTTTTCTCACGATTTCCATGGTTTTTATTCAATTTTTATCGATATCGATAATATCCCGATATTTCCATCCAAATTTTCGTGTTTTTGGACTATTGATATTTCCAATATTATTGATATTTTATACCTTGGTCACAAGTCAAAAGTGTATCTCGACGAGGATTAACCTAAGCTGAAAATCAGAGTACATAACGAACAAATAAAATCCAAAACTTTATTCTAAGAAGGCCACATAACCCGAAAAGGCTACGGGCTAGTTTGGGGTTGCTGTGTTTTTCAAAATAGCTTTTAATGTGCTGTGAGAATAAAAAATTTTGGTAAAAAAAAAAGGGCGTACGATTTACATATGTAAGCTTAACTAATAGGGACTGTTCACCTGCCTCTGATGAAAATATTGCTTTTTCGAAGATCATGTGTATTGCTACTTCTGTTTTTTGCTATTTTGAACCTATGATTTTGAAAAGAAAAAAAAAAAAAAATTTTCATTTCCCAAACACAATTAAGGCCCCAAATTTTTTTTTAAGAAACTACTTTTAAAAATTTAAACAACTCCAAAATAGTTTTACATCTTGACTGACTTATTATTCTATGAGTTACAAAGTAACCTATTTATAGAGAAAACAAAATCAAACATAATCTTTAGTGGGCAAGTAACCTATTAAAATAACAATAAAACTAGAACTAATCTTCCAACAACCTACACGGGCACGTCACTGTAACATCTAAGTGATGTGTTTGTGGGTGCATTATTAGTTTAGAATTTCACGATGGCAATACTGGGTGTAAGTCTTCAATTGAAGATAAAACAAATCTAACGTATTTGAATTTTAAAACCAACGAGCACAAAAGATTGAAATAGAGTCCAAATCGGTTTAGGTGGAGTCGAGCCAATCCTGAATTTGAAAAGCAAGGTCCTTCCCATTCAATAGACTTGTTTTAACTTTTCAGGAGTCATCGACCCAATAGAAGAAGAGTAAAGTGGAGGAAGAGAGAGACCAAGGGGGGAGGGTGGCAGTGTGTGGAGAGGACTTGGCTGGGTCATGGCTGCTGGTTGTCCAAGCTGTTTTTTTTTTTTTTTTTTTTTTTTTTTTTTTTTTTTTGATAAAGCAATGTTGGAGGAGAGGGAAATTAGACACCAGACTCTGTCCACAGATATGATTCATGTTTGTGGAATAACCAAGTTGGAGTATCATGTTTGTGGAATAACCGAATTGGACTATCAATATAATAATAATGGTTTATTTACTAATCCGTAAATAAAATGGTAGGAATTGAATTTAGGACAAATTGAATTGATAAAGAGTTGGAATGGAGAATGTTTGAATTGAATTCCTGTTGAAGTTGTTTATTAAAACCGTTTGGAATCGGAATAGAATTGATATATATTACATATAAATTGTTTACTTCTTCACCTGGATCGGAATGAAAATCAATTTAATTACTAAAATATCCTTAATTAAAATAAGGGTTGTTTTATAGGCACCCTACAATTTTATAAAACCACCCCACATAAAAAAGATTCCTTTAAAATTTCAGCTTTATCCCCACCAGCAAAACAGAAGAATGCCAACAAAGCCTCAATTCGGCGACCACCCATATCGATAAGTAGGTTACGACCCTAACTTATATAAAATTTCAAGAAAGATCAAATTAAGTAATTTTATACGTTTGTGAGAAGTGTCTTACAAACAATGTGTTCCGCTAAAGTTGATCTCATATAGACCTAGGGTATTTGTCTTCCAAGGAGAAAATGGAACAAATATAGGATGCAACAAAGAAAGAAGCCATCTGGAATCATATTACATTTCTTTCCTTTTTCTTATGATTTTGGGGACAAAAGCATTGCGGATATACCGATATAGATGCTCCAAGTAGAATGGGAACAAACAAACCAACCTAGCTATGACATACGCAACAATTATATCTTGTTCAAATAAATAAACATTTTCCTGGATGGAAAAAGTCAGATGTCTTCCAATGGCATCCTTATCACTTTGATTATTTAACTATTAAAACTAGTTAACTAATTACATGCATGATTAAGAAAATGAAAGTTGATAAATTAAAAAAATAAAAAAGACTATGAAGAAGCATAGCATCTACCGGAACAAAGGGACAAGCGTCCCTCCTTTTCACCGCAAATTAGTTTGATTAAAACTTAAAATATTTTCCTGTTTCGAAAAAATCCAATCCGAATCCAAAAATTTCGTTTCAAGTTTGAACATTTCCGATTTCTAAAATTTCAGAAGGCAAGTCACTTAGTATTATGGTTTAGTGGTATTGTTCTTCATTTGTAAATGAAATATTTTATATTTGATTCTCACCAAAAACAAATTTGAATCACATTATTGTTAGCTCATTGTAAAATTAAGCTCACCCCCTCTCATTAGTATAGATAATTTCGTTTGTTTCAACAACAAAAATTATGGAAGGCAAGTTTTTTTGGACGTTCGTATTTGGTCCTATGTTTCCCAAACTGTAGATCCCTCCTTGTAGAGAGCACACATTGTATTGTATTTTAATGATTCATTTGAATTTTGTAGAAACGCATCTTGTTGAATTCTATGCTAATTAGTACAAACACTTAATTTTTCTTTTTTTTTTACTTTTCTCTAGCGTATATGCATCTACAACTTCATTTATGGCACAAAACATCAATTTGTTATCAATACATATTTTATAGAACCCATATGAAATTAAGTCTTCGAGACATGCTAAAATGCAAATTCCCACTTGTGTATCAATACATATTTGGAAAAACCAGAAGAGAGTGCATTGCATGATCATTTAATTGCTATTATATAAAAATTATTGTTCAATTGCCTGAGAAACCTTACAGTTTTTTGTCGAATACAACTTAATGAAAGGGAAGTAAGTTATTAAAATGACCGGAATAATCCTAAACACAAGTCATGACACACCCCGACCTAGATCGAGACATGATGGCCGTCACATGAGGGTGACGTAGCCATGTGCACAGTGTAGAAGCAATAAAGATATAAGAAATGCGAATAAAAAAAAACCAACTAACTAGAGCACTAGATAAGATAAAGTGCAAGTGCGATATTAAGTGTGAGTTCACAATCAGAGCATAAGTAACCTAAGTGCAGTCCAGCAGGATAAATACTAATTATACAACACACAAGGGTAATCTTACATTGGGGATAATTTGTTAGAGCTGCCGTGAGTTCCTCGTAAGCCACCAACCAGCACTCTTACCTAAAACATGGATGGGCGCAAAACAGAAAGTGTGAGTGGGTAAAAACAAAGCTTTTCAAAACCATTTCATTTATCAAAAGTTCTAACCCCTCGCCATAAAACTTGTATAATTTCCCAGAAAATAGAATATATATACATATCTCAAAACCATGCACAAAAAACGGTATTCATAAATATGTCATGCCAAATATCTCAAAATAACAGAATAAGTAGCTCAGGTGAAATAACATATCAGCAGGATCCACCTAATGTGGCATGTACGGCTAAATCTATAGCTCAACAAGTACGTCTGCACACGAGTCGGAACCATCTATAGTGGTATTTATGACAGGACTAGGTGTAAATAAATACGCTCTAGTGCTACGATCACGTGAAGACTGTGCGAATAATCGCGGGTCACCTACGAGTCGAAACCACCTATAGTGGTCTGTACGACAGGACTGTGCACCTAACTTGGATCCAAGGTGAGTGTATGGTGCGGGAGGTGAACATCACGTGAAGGCCTATGCCCTGGCCACGGGCGGTAGCACTAACACCAGGGTGCAGGTTATGAGCTCTCAACACCTCTCACGTAATTATTAATTCATATATAAACAATCTACAACTTACCTAGTACTTACCTGAGCGTCCACAACGTCAATTCACATTTATGCATACTATACTAATTCATACTCTAAGTATAACTCAATATGCATGGCATTTCAAAACATAATTTCATTTAAACGCATTTTCTTGGAAAAATACCAAGTATATAAGTATATACTGAAAACCAAAAGCCCATTCACTGATATGTGGAAGGGTCGTAACCCCCAACCTTGCTTGACTGCGCTCATCCTCAGGATAGTTCTCACCTATATGCGAAACAACTATATAAACGTTATTTTAAAGCATATACACAAAACTAGGTAATAACTTCTCATACATAGCTCAATTGGGGTATTTTAATATACCACCATGGCCTACTTAACCTCAGGAACATCCCCATATTTTTAGAAAAATTTCCCGAACACCCACGCACCCTCATGCGCCAGCCAAGGCACGGCCAGACGTGCGGCTCACGTGCAGGCACGTGCCTGGCACACCAAACGGATTCCCTAACGATGTTAGGGAATATTCCATTAAAAATCAGCATATATCGTTATAATTACCTGACAGCGTTAGCATATTCCGTCAACTTTGACGGAATATTCTCCTCCTTCTTCCTTGGTTCGCCGAAGTCCGGCACCGGTGCTACTGCGATCGCCGGAAACTGGAAAAATCTTTAAAACTTCATATCTTCTTCATTTCTCAACTAAATTCGATGAAATTTGTACCAAAATGAAGCTTAGGACAAGA